CTCTTCCCCCCCACCCCTGGCAGCCACGCACACACACCTACATGCATAACTTTGCTTATGCTGTTCTAAAATCCCCATTCTCCTGTAGGGGAGAAATGTGATCCTGCGTGGGTTGTCACCGCCCATCTCACCACTGGTTAGAAAGTATTTCTGTACCGTCATCATAACATATCAGTGTTGTGTACAACATAAAGACATAAAATGCCATTTAAAAACAAGACAAATAATAATTTAAGTGATTAAACTACTGGGTAATCAAAAATTTATACAACTACTGTTATAAGAACAGCCTTCAAGAGACAACTGAAAGTCAAAAGTAAGAGTGCCTGCTGAATCTCTTTTTGGAAGAATGTTCCACAGCAAATTTTATCCATATTGGATATAACTGGGGGGGGGGGGAGCTGCTCATTTTGCTACACACAAATCCCTCCCTCCTTTCTGCAAAATGCCTGCAACGGGGTGCTTTGAAGTAGCAAAGGGGGACTACTGCAGACACTTTCTGCCTCAAACTTAATTGCCTCTCCCCTCCTTTATCTCTGCCAGAATTCTGACATAATTTCAAGCCACTAATGTGAATATATCACTAATGTGAATATATGTGAACAGACAATAAAATAAATAAGACTTTTGGAGTGCATTGAAATAAAAGCAACTGTTTTGTAGCACCTCACAGGTTTATGTGTCATAAGCTTTTGCATACCCAGAGTCCGTTTCATCGCAGACCTAAATTGGTAAAACGTCTGATGTAATTTGTCAACATGAGACAACTCTCTTCCTCTTTTCACCTGACTTGTTCATAAATATTTGTCCTGTCTGGCTTTGTTTCATGAACCAAATTCAAAGGAGGAGGAGCGATCGGACAAATCAGAGCATTTTTTGAGTTTTCCCATTTTTGTTGTTTTTTTGCTTTTTGGGGGGGTCAAAATTCCATGGTTAGGAATCAGTTAGAAATAGGAAATTGTCAACTTGTTATGTGAACGCTTGCCTAACAGATTATTTCCAGGGAAAGCATTGTTTTGGTGAGCCAGACCTGCATGTACTGACCTAGATGGTCCATTGGTCAGACTCACTATAAAACAGCTTTCTATGTAAGTCTTCAGAGCAGAGCTAACAAAGAGAAACTGGCTACAAAAGAAGTATCAAATGTGACAAGGAACTTGCTTAATCATAACGGGGAAAGTGGAAGGCACCACCCCAAACTGTGGAATGCCCTCCAGGAACCACTGGGGAACTAGTTTCCTGTAGCCTGAATGTGAAAAATGTTAAGTATTCTGAATGGAAAGCTGTAACATTAACTTATAAATACAGTGGTACCTCGCAAGACGAATGCCTCGCAAGACAAAAAACTCGCTAGACGAAAAGGTTTTTTGTTTTTTGAGCTGCTTCGCAAGACGGAAACGCCTTGCAAGTTTGTTTCCTTTTTCTTAACACCGTTAATACAGTTGCGACTTGACTTCGAGGAGCAACTCATAGAACGTGGTGTGGTAGCCTTTTTTGAGGTTTTTAAAGACTTTGGTGATTTTTGAAGCTTTTCCAAAACTTTCCCGACACCGTGCTTCGCAAGACGAAAAAAATTGCAAGACGACAAAACTCGCGAACAAATTAATTTCGTCTTGCGAGGCACCACTGTAAGGTGGAACCACACTCCTTGAAAGACAGCAGTCAGGATCTAGAGAAGATGGAAAGTGGCTTTCTGCATTCAAGGGGGCTTTGGACATTTGTTTCTCAAACTGCAGCCCTCCTTGTTGCACATCAAGCTTTGTTCCTAATATTGAGGGGACTTGCAAAAGCAGCTTGTGATATGGCATGATGGGAATAAGCTGTTTGAAGAAAAACAAGGCCAAAATCCCACTGGGCATGTGCAAGCTCTTGGGCTTGCCAGAAGCAGCTTGTTGTGTCCCCGTATATTTTGTGCAGCCATGACGAGAACTGTGCTCCAGTAGCTGTGGTAAAGCCAGCCAGTTTGCTAGCGAGGTGGCTCAGGCTTCAAATGATGTGAACTGGCTGTAGTCCATGAACAAACAACATCCAGAGGCCAAGTACTGGGTAGGGCTGGACATGTTTTTACTGAATGCAGAATAGTGGCTTCATAACAGAACACTGTTTTTCCATACTTCGTGCTGATCAGGGAGGAAAAGGAGGGGGGAAGAGCAGTGATGTGGGGAAGGGAAGGGAACTCCAAACCAAAAGAATTTCTGTGGCATAATGCGACTAGTAGCAATTGCTGCAGGACATTCTACAAGCTATTTTCTCAGCTTCATGGGCTAGCAGTGGCATTTCAAGTGTATGGGTGGAGGAAAGCATGAAGGGCTCTTTTAAAGCATCACGTTTCTTTTCCTCTTCAACAGTTTGGTTGAAATAGTTTTTTTAAAATACTTGAAATTAAATGCAGTTGAAGAAAACAAAAATGCACACCAAGTGAGAGCCATGCTTTGAGAGAGAGACTGCTCAACTGGAAAATTCTCATGGCAGTGTACATAATAAAATTATTGATACGTAAAATCATCAAAGCTGTTCACAAGTATACATAAAATAATTATCAACAAAATATGGATAAAATCAGAAAATCTTTTAAAAACAAATATAGATAACTAATTATATGTCTGGGGAGGTTTTCTGAAATACATAAGGAGGTTTTCAGCAGGGATCTAAAACAATATAGTGAAGGTGCCTATATAGGAAGTGTCTGTAAAACAGACATTATTTTAGGTTTTGGGAGGAAGGATACTGTACTTACTTGGAAGAATGTTCTGGTAAAATCTGTTTAGCAGTCTGTATAATTTTCAGTGTGCTGGGAGTGTAAGCTTTCATGTTACAGGGAAATTCTTGTCAGGCATAAGTATTGAAAGCAAGAAGAGTGGATTATAGCATCTAGATTTAAACATTTTGATACAATTTGAGAGCTTATGACATTAGGTGGTCCAGGAAAAGACCACGTCATTTACACTATGGTTTTGGGGAAACCAGCATGGACACAAAACTTTGGTCTCTAAGAAGTAGATTGTCACAAATGTTGTGTTAAGGATATGACAATCTAAATACTTCATTTTAAATAATACCTTGGCAACAGATTCAATTCAAAGAAGCCATATCAATGACCAACTGGCTATGTTTTGCCCACACCTCTTAATATTAATACAGTTGTCCTCATGTTGATGGCTTTGGGGTTTGCTGTTCTGTAGTTGAGAGATATTGTGTGTGTGTGTGTGTGTGTGTGTGTCTCTTCAAGGGATGAACATACACATGCAGTTCAGAACTGGTCTAACTTATTCAATAGGTTTTTATATATACAGATTGCCACAGAGAAGAAAGTGTGCTTCAGAATTAAAGTTCTATGTTTAGTATTATAATAAAATTGCCTATCCTTCTAGTTATTATTCTCCCACACATTTGTAATCTCTGTTAAGAGCTGGAAGGGATAATCTGTGAAAGGCCTCTTGCCCTCTTCTTCTTTCTGCACCACCCCTTCTATCTTCCTTAGAGGAGGAACAGAGATCTGAATTTATAAGCTAGCATAGGGCCTCTGAAATTAGGCCAAGGACTGCACGAAATCATATTTAGGGTCACATGTCCACCCCCATCTATAGGACTGCTCTAAAAGTTGGCAATATGCCTCTTCCTTTTTGCATAAGATCAGCCCAAGGCAAGTGGCAATAAGAAAACACAATGTATACTGGAAGGCTACAATAGACCGTTATATATATCTTGTGTGGTACACAGATCAGGTTAGATATTTAACTGAAAAAAGGTTGCTCACCTTTGCTATTGATGTCTACTCAGAAGTAAGCCCCACTGAGCTCTATAGTACTTACTATCAGGGGTGGGGGTGGTGATTTTATCCTGTAGTAGGTGTGTTTTTTTGTAAATAACTTTAATTTTAAAGAGAAAATACAGTATCAAAACACCATGCTTTTTACATGCACAAAATACTGTTTTGAAAAGAGTACAGAATAAAAAAGAAAATAAAAGAAAGAATTGTTAAAACAGAAAAACCAAAGGGTACTGATAAAAGGCGTATCATGCAATTCTTGACGTGTAAAGCATTCTACATTACCTTTATGTATTGCTTGCTATAAGGGGAGAGGAAAGTGGAGACAGTATCCTGTAGCATTTTATATTTAGTCATTTCAGAAAGTACACATTGTATTTTTAAGCAGCACAAGTTTACCAATACTGTTAAGTGCATATATACACATAGAATAAAAGCATACATTAAAATCAGTGAAAGTATTTTGTTTCGCCTTGCCATGTAAGCTGCTTTAGGGTCTGTTTAAAAAGTAAATGAGCCTTTTTCCACCACTGCATATATACACGTATCTTAATGTATTGGCGGTAAGACATGTGCTAACCTCTTGTTGTGCACCCACCCCTGTTTTATTACAGAAACACCTTAGAAAGTGACTAAGGAAACAGGAGAATAGACTTTTATCGAAAAACTGGGGGAGAATAAATAGCAGAGGTTCTGTGCTCTTTGGCTCACTCTGGCTTAAGTAGTTACATTGGAATTGACAATTGGAAATGAAATTGGCCACTGTTAAATTCATAGCAGTTTGAGAAACTCATGAGAGGCACGACACTTGGTTATTTATCTGCTAACATTTGTACTATATCTTCTAAGAAGCCCATACTTGATGCTTTAGTCTGGCAACAACTCTGTGAATGTAGGCTGATGCAAGGAGGCAATGGTAACTTTCCCTTAAGTCCTCTCCATTGAGCCTTAAAAGCTGAGCAGATTCTCTGAATGGTAACCCTGCATCTCAGAACTTAGTTCTGTAATCATTGCACAAATGTCTCCCTTAACTTGTGCTTGTGTATTCTTGGAATACAAATATTAAGTCAGTGAACAAGTGCACGTTCTTAATCTGGAGAAAATGTTTTGGCAGTTCGTGAAGAAATGTCTTCCTCCTGTCCTAGAATCACAAAGACAGAAGCCATGATAGCTAGATTTGAGTATATGGTCTGTGTTTTCAAATGCATTTTTTTCCTTTCTTTACTTGCAGGTGGTGTTGGTGCTTCCTTCCAGTGCCAGTTAATCCATCAAGACCACATCTGTACTGATGACAGTGACAAGGTAACTAAATTAAATGAGTTTCCTTCAGGTATTAAAAGTGTCAATTTTATGCAATTGAAAGTCTTGTTTAGCTGAAGTTTTATAGCAAAACTGCTTATTTGTCTCAAGAGGATGTTGCTCTTTATTAAAAAGGTGTACATTTCTGTCAGTTGTTTTGATTTTTCTATTGACACCACCCCCATGTGACGATGGGTGATAACTTGTATACAGAGAATTTATTTTCTTCCTCTCGCAAAGTAAAGCTTCTCTCATTTGGTTACTTTTGCCTTTCAAAGTATTAAGGAGTGTTGTGTGTGGGAATTTTCAGTTTCTGTTATAAATATTCCCTTTGATTCAGAAAAGGTTTGGGTCTCCTTTCCTTCACTCCCAAAACTCACTTTGGGCCCACTCAAACACTGAGATCGCATGGGTATGTGGTTGCAGTGCAGCGTCGTGGGTAAAATGTGATAAGTTGTTTGTGTAAGCTGCTTCCTATTATGTAGATTTTAACTATACTGATGCTACTCTTCAAATATGGCAAATGTGTGGTTAGCATAAACTGTTGGTGCGGAGCTCTTTTCAGATTATAAGTTAATGCACACTTCTCAGATTATAGGACTAATTTCCATGGTTTCCTGAGCTTCACAGGAAGGAGAAAACAACTACAAACTATTGAATATGTCAGTCACAGGAGAAAATTGTATGCCTCTATAAGCTCGTCGCAACTTGGAAGCAGTAGAGAGGATAAACTGCATAGGTGTCTCCCTTCCCACACCCTGGACCTAGGATGAGAAGGTTCTTTCACCAGCTCTTCTGGCTACTTCAGGCTATGACAGATGAAATGGTCTTGTTCTTAGTCACCTTGGATTATCTGTACAGCAAAATCTGAAGTTGAGAAGCTTCTCACTTAGAGCTGTAAATATTATTCTGTGCGTCTCTTCCACTCAACCATTCAAGGGAGAGGGGAAATGTACTTGCTTCTGAGCTAAGGACTTTAAGAGGATGTGGTAGCTACCTTCCCCCACTGCTTACCATTCAAGTTCTTCTGGTGGATAGGGAAGGTGACAGTTCTCTCAGGTTGGAGCAGGGGTAGAGGTCCCAGAAGCTATGAAATCACTTTGGGGGGAAATTGAGTACTGTGGGTCCAAGGAATCTCATGACAGAACCGAAAGAGGGTTCAGATCTTAGCATAGTGATGAATAGGGTAACTTTGTGAGGAGGGATTGCTTTCTCTGCTTTAGTTGCCCAGTTGTAAAATGAGGAAAATAGTTGGCTGCAGGGAGAGAGAGGTGCATGGAAAGCACACCTGAATAATCACATACAATATAAGTACAGTGGTGCCTCGCAAGACGAAAAGAATCCGTTCCGCAAGTCTCTTCGTCTTGCGGTTTTTTCGTCTTGCGAAGCAAGCCCATTAGCGGCTTAGCGCTATTAGCAGCTTAGCGGGCTTAGCGGATCAGCTGATAAGCGGCTTAGCGGATCAGCTGATAAGCGGCTTAGCGGGCTTGGTGGATCAGCTGTTAAGCGGCTTAGCGGATCAGCTGATAAGCGGCTTAGCGATCAGCTGATAAGTGGATCAGCTGATAAGTGGCTTAGCGGCTTGGGAAAGGGGGGGGAGGAAAAAAACCCTGCAGGAACTCGCAAGACATTTTCGTCTTGCAAAGCAAGCACATAGGAAATTCGTTTTGCGAAGCACCTCCAAAACGGAAAACCCTTTCGTCTAGCGGGTTTTCCGTCTTGCGAGGCATTCGTCTTGCGGGGCACCACTGTACTTAAAAGAAATTACTATTTGAGAAGTGATGCTTTTGCGTTTGCACTTTTTGTGCCTTGTTTTTAAATATGCTAATATGCATTATTTCACCTTTTCCTTTTTTAAAATTTCATCTTTGGTTTTAAGAGCAGTTGAAGTAGCATTTGTCCTCCATTAGCGAAGGTGGCATTTTGTTGTCTTTAGGGAGGGTGCTTGATATAGTTGTTCTCACATCACATTTTGTGTGGAAACTGGCCACAGTTAGACTAGGTTTTAGAAAGAAGAATGAATAGGAGGTACAAGTCCTGGTCATCTATTTATAAATGCCTTTTCATATCAGTATGGAATTCATTTGTTGTAAACCAGGGTCTAGAATGTAAAACACATGCCAAAAGAGTTTTGAATAACATCAGTCCTCATATTTCCACTTAAATTTATTGATTTTTCTTTCACTTGGACACTGGTGGTGGTGGTGTGTGTGTGCATAGACATTCACTCCTGATTCCATAGGAAAGATATGTGATTGCACCCACCCATGTGGTTTGGTCATGAGATAGTCACCCAGCTGCTAATGGATAAATAGATCTCTTATTGTTAGGAAGACATATAGATATGATCTGAGATCAGCAAAAAGCGAGAGTTAGGCTTTTAATGTGTGGCCTTAGGAGAATATATGTCTGAAGCATCACTGATACTCCTTAGAATCTTTTAAGAGTACCACTGATTCTTCAAGACTTTGTGCATGTTTTCTAGCTGAAATCTGCTTGGGCTTTAGGAGCCAGTATATCTGAACTTGTCTGCTGTAATAAAAAAAGAGGTTTGAAAAACTGCTGCTTTAAGTGCATCAAGCAAAACAGGTGACAGAAAAACTTCACTTCTGAGTACAGTATTGCCTTCAGTTTCTTAGTGTGATCGTGACTTCACATGTAACATTTTTAATGTGCTATTTTAAGCGTTTTCCAGTTTGCAGCTCCCTTCTCACTTATTTTGACTAACCTTTGTTTTAAATCCAGTCATTAGTTATTTTCTATTTGTGGCATCAACAACACAAAATTTCCTGCAGAGTGTTTTCACTGAAAATAGTGTCTAAAGCTGAAGTGTGCCCAGCCCCACCCCGCATCTTATCACTGATTCTCTTTGATTTGTGCTTCACTTCCTGGATTCTCCACAGGAAAGTGTGTTTCCTGTTAAAGAGCCGCTTACCTATCAGTTTATTTAATTAGAATTTACCATATTTCAACATCTTGCAGCTCACTAGCAACATCCCTTCAGTCGCCTTACCCATGCGAATTGTTATGTACTGACAGGTATTATGCTAGATAAACTAGAGTTGATTAAAGGCAACAGGTATAGGGCTGCTCTGGAACACAGGGGGAAAAGATGGTGATGGTGAATTTAGACTAGTGGATTTAGAAAGTTAGGTGAATTTATTTGAATATATTTCTAGATTTGGAAAGCTCTGCAACATATTCTACAGATCATACAGAGGCAGAGCCTAGAAAGGCACAAATATAACTGCATTTTAAAGGCAATTCAATAACAATAGAATCTGATTTATCCTGCTTTCTTCCTTCCATTACTGTGCTAGATGACTGCTCTGCAGAATGTTCTTACTCCTGTGAAGTAAAAAAACAACAACATACAAATATTCTTTCTTTTTAGTTTCTCTTCATTTTTTCCTTATTTTGTGTTGTCTACCAACTTTGCCCTTTAATATTTTAAGTTCTGGTTTTTATAGCCACCTCTTCATCCCTATCCTTTCTATTTCCATGACAACTCTGAAGATCTTCTATTGTGGCACCTTGATTTGAGCATGCTCCAGTGAGTTTCATTGTTGTACTTTACTCTAATTCTGTGCTTTTCCCCAAAAGTTTTTACTTTTTAGTTGATATTTTAGAGCCTCTTATTAGCATGGAACTGATTGAAGGATTATTAATATTGATTTCTTGGTAAAGGGTGCCTAGTTTTAATTATGATATTACTTGGGACCTATTTCTCTCAAGGATAGTTTGTGGTTCTATTGTTACTTTATCAAAGTCAACCAAACTGTCCATTTTAATTTGGATTAGTGATGCCCAGTGCTTCAAAAAAAGCTCTTGGAAGACTTATTGAACTATAAGTTAATATAAGTATTGTTTGGAACTTTCCCCTGATATTTAGGAGGAAAACAGCACTATCTGGAAATTGAAATGTGTCACTGCCTAAATATTTTCCACACTTAAAATACTTTACTTTGATTCAGGAAGGAGCACAGTCAGTATGATTTACGAAAGCCTATAATCTAGCTTCCAGTAGTGATAGTTTTTTTCTTTTCCTGCATTCTTCTGATGTATGATTCCTAAAACTACAGGATAGGTTGAAGAAGAACTTTGCTAAAACGGATTTTGTGTTTTTGTTAATGTACCCCTTCAAAGCTTGCAAAGGGAGGGGAGACTGCTTGGGGGTCTATGACAAAAGGCTTGGGAAATGAGCATCTCTCCTAACAACTGTAGCTTCCAGCACTGTGTATATTCACTTGACTTAAGAGTTCTGACATTTCAGCACAGTATAGAACTGAACTATTATTGGTCCATAAAATAACTTGGAACCTGTAAATGAAAATACTGCTGTGCGTATCTTTTTAAAATTAAATGACATTTCTGTGCCAGAGAGGCAGGTTTCATTGCTTTCTAAAAGGCAAGGAAGTTGCAAAAATGCTGTTTGGTAATGTTCCCCGGAGGTAAGACCAGATAGGAAATAATTTTATAGGGCTAGTGAAACTGCATTTTGTGTATTTTTTTACATCAGGCAGAAGTAAGTGTATATCACATATAAAAAAGAAATGTTGTCAGTGGTTGCATTATTCTGCTGTAACACACATACACTGTATTTTATTTTAAAACATTTCTCAGCTGCTGTTTTGAAGCTTAAGGTGGTTTACACAATTAAAACAAAAATGAAAATACAGAATAGACAGCAACTGGGGAGGGGGGGCAGGGGGAGAGCAAGCCAAAAGCCAAACAGAATAGATGTGCTTTACAACCCTTCCTAAAGGCTAATATGGAGTGGGAGCCACACCTCTTTGGGAGAGATCATGCCCATGGCATTGGGGAAAATGTATATCGATTGCTTCTAGCTGCAACAGTTTGCACTTCATGCGCAGAAGGAAGACAAAGCAGGGGCTGATTAAATGACTGAAGATGGCACGGAGAGCTATCTAAACACAGAATCCAGATCAGACAAAATCAGTGTGCCTTTAATTCATTTAGTTCACAAAATGTTTTCCAGGAAA